TCCGCCTCATCCTCCGGCACAGTAGCTTCATTTCAACTATGTATTGCATGATTATGTACAAAATATACGTATGTAATGTTTCATGTTTTCAATTAAATATTCTTGCTTTCTAAATCTCTATAACTGCCTAATTATTTATTATTTCCGCACTTTTTGCTTATGCCAAAAGGGGGAAAATGTAGACGTTATGCATGATTATGTTTAAACAAGGGAAACATAAGTAAAATAGATAGGGGGAGTATATGCGTACAATTCTATTCCTTATCGATGTGTTACCTATTTGTTATTAATCATACATTGCAAATCTTTATGTTTGTCATAATCAAAAAGGGAGAAATTGTTGACCTATGGTTGACGACTCATTTTGATTATCATAAACAAAATTGCATTTATCACTAACAAATTGATTTCAAATGTCTTTAGCGATTATTGAAAACAAATAGAATTGACGACACGAAGATTCGAGACGATAGCGATTTGCATGCGACAATCAAATTGGAACTCAAAGATTTGCAAAAGATGCAAATCAAGATATAAGTCAAAAGAATGACAAAATCAAGACGATTAGACATTGTACAATCATATATAAATGTAAAACATTTCAATACTTGGCAATGAATAGAGACGAACTCAAGTTTTGATTTTACGATTGCAAAATCACCACAAAAACGTTGTACTCATAAATTATTTTTTCAAAGGTAAAAATCAAAAAACGTAATTTTGAAATAAAACAAATACCTTGAAAAATCCTTTTAAAACGTCCCTAAAGTACTTATATTTATTAAAAATTAAAACGAGGACGTTTCGACGTAAAACAGCCGTACCGGACGTCCGGTATGATAGTTTTAGCACCAACGGTAAAAAATTCAACCGTTTTGATTTTCTGACACAACGGCTAGTTGACCATCCGGTACTGTAGCGGACGTCTAATGCAGTGCGTCCGGTTTGACAGATTTTTGATTGTTTTTCTCCTATAAATACCAACTCACTTTGCATTCAATTTCAACAATTCCAAGAGCAAATAGTAAACATATATTGAGATAAATCCTTGGTCTTTATTATTTATTCATTTATCAATTGATTTATATTTGAAAAACATTTGATTATTCTAAACTTAGAAAATCAATTTTATCAAAGTTTTTCAAATCTAACACTTGAGTTATATGCTATCTATTAAATTGTTTGCTTTCTTCTCTTCTTGTTCTCAACTTTGAATCTATTATTCGTTAAGAAGAGAAGATTTCACTTGTAAAACTCTTTTGAATCGAGAGTCATATTGAGGTCCCATAAACCTCAATAGTGTGGGTTGTGTTGAGGTTCCATAAAACTCAACATTGTATAAGGATCGATGCTCCTTGTTTGTAAGTCACCAGAAGCTTTGTAAACAGTTGGATTGCACCATAAGTCAATCACAATACTGGAAAAGGCTTTGCTCGTGACGGAGAGCTTGGTAACGGGGGATCGGTGCCCCTCTTGGTTAGCTATTCTTGAGCTTTCAGAAATGTGATTTGATTTCATATGATGTAAATGATGAATTTAAGTGCAAAATATGTGTAGANGAGTTCTTTGAGGATTCGTTATCTTTAGATAATGAATTGAGGGAAATTCATAAAGATATCCCTAGCTCAAGTGGAATACGAAATGAAACATCTTCTAAAGATATTGATGAGTCTAGTGAACCACACAGAAGTAAAAGAATTCGGATTGTGAAGTTCTTGGGATAGGATGAAATTGATTCTCAACTTATTTCCTTTTACTTGGTAGAGGGAAATGAGTTGAATGTTGTAATAATGATTTCTTTTGTTCTACAAGTGGAAACCAACCCTAAAACTTAGAAAGAAGCTATGGCTTCTCGTGATAGCATCTTTTGGAAAGATGCGATTAGGGACGAAATGGATTCAATAATGTTAAATAACACTTGGGAGCTTGTCGATTTACCACTGGGTCCAAACCTATTGGATGGGTGTTTAGGAGAAAGTATAATGCTGATGGTTCTTTTAATACCTTTAAGGCTAGATTAGTAGCCTAATGTTATCGACAAAAGGAAGAAATCGATTATTTTGACACGTATGCTCAGGTAGCTAGAAATACATCTATTAGGATGTTATTTGCTCTAGCATAATACCTTTAAGGCTAGATTAGTAGCCAAAGGTTATCGAAAAAAAGAAGGAATAAACTACTTTGACACCTATGCACCGGTAGCTAGAATAACATCGATAATGATGTTATTTGCGCTAGCTTCTATAAATGACTTGCATTTTCATCAAATGGATGTGAAGACGACATTCTTGAATGGGGATCTCAATGAGAAAGTATATATGGAACAATTCGAAGGATTTGTTCTACCTGGAAATGAACACAAGGTGTGCAAGTTAGTGAAATCGTTATACGGTTTAAAGCAGGCACCTAAGAAATGGCATAGAAAGTTTGACTTAGCTATAATATCGTTTTGTTTTAAACATAATAGCATAGATAAATATTTGCATTCTAAATTATGTGATAATTATGTGATTTTTATTTGCTTATATGTTGACGACATGTTGATCATGCATAATCACATGGACGAGATAGAAGAAATGAAAATGTTTCTATCTTCCACATTCAAGATGAATGATCTTGGACATGTGGATACCATTTTGGGTATTAAAGTCTCTAAAACTAGTGAGGGTTATCATCTAAGTCAATCACATTATATTGAGAATGTGATTAACAAGTTCAAGCATTTAAACGTGAAAGAATATAGTACCCTAATTGATCCAAGTTAGAAACTAATAAAGAATGATGGAAGGGCTATTGCTCAATTGAAATATGCAAGTGCTATTGGTAGTCTTATGTATGCAGTTCAATGCACAAGACCGGACATAGTCTATGCAATAAGTAAACTAAGTAAGTTTTCTAGCAATCCGAGCAATGATCATTGGAAGGCCATTGAGAGAATTCTTGGATACTTAAGGAAAACCAAGAACTTGAGTCTTCAATATACAAAATTCCCAACTGAGCTGAAAGAATTTACTGATGCTAGTTGGATATCTAACACAGGTGAAAGTAAATCCACTTCGGGTTGGGTGTTTATACTTTGAGGAGGGGCTGTTTCTTGGAAATCAAAGAAACATACATGTATAGCACACTCAACTATGGAATCCAAATTTGTAGCGCTATCGAAAATTGGGAAGGAGGTTGAGTGGCTTAAGGATCTCCTATATGAGATACCTTTGGGACCGAAGAATACATCTTCGATACCTATCATTTGTGATAGTCAAGCCACGTTAGCGAAAGCATACAATGAGGTATACAATGGAAAGTCTAGACATATGAGTCTAAGATACGACTACATAAGGAAATTAATCAGGAGTAAAATAATTTCCCTAAATTATGTAAAGTCGTTCGAGAACTTGGCGGATCCTCTAACTGAACCTCTAAATAGAGATTTAGTAAATTCTACTTCGAGTAGGATGATGTTGAAACTCTTGAACTAAAAAGGTTCACCAATGACGACAATCCTACCTATCATTAATCAAAAGGTAATCCACAGATTCAAAGGGTAACAAGAAGTCATTCGATATGTGGATAGTTTCAGCATTATTGATATCCACGATAACCCATCCTAGTTATAATAATGCTGGTTGTTACGGAAGTGAGGATTGAGTCTTAAACTCATAATGAGTTCAATATTAAGTACAAATATCTTTAAAAGTAACAAAGATGCTAGAAGAACTTCACCTAAATAAACTTCGTCTCAATAGAGAGTTAGAGTTTCTCTCTTAAAAGTTTGTTGACAAGGATGAGCGCAAAACCATAATAGCGCTAAGCGAGTTTGAGAAACTTGAGAACACTTGATACTTGTGTGTGTGTTCTTACCGGTATTGTCATATGGAATCATTGGTTCAAAGCTTTCAAGCTACCTTTAATTCCGACTTTAGTTTGTTTGAATTACACTATGGTTAGATTCAAATTGAAAGATATCTAAATCCTTTTGCATAAGTATTGTAAATTATTGAATATGGCATTTTATTCAATTTTGAACAAGTGGGGGATTTGTTGGAAATGGTTCTTCAAAATGAATTGATTTTGGAATGAAAAATGGTGGTGGAGGCCATATTCTTGGCCTATGCATTTACATGGTGCGACCGCATATGCCCAAGGGCCATGCGGTTGCATGGCCCTTAACAGGGATTAAAATCTATGTATTGAGGAGCTCTTCAATGCGACCGCATAGAGTAAATTTTTGGTCCTTTTTTTACCGTTTTATAACCGTTGTAGTTTTTCATTACATTTGAGCACAATTTTGTACCAGACTTCTGAGGGCTATAAATAGGCGATCCTAGTTCATTTGAAGAGGTTGAAAAATTACATTATTAAATCATATATCATTTCGAAGCAATAGAAATCAATTCTTTTCTACTCCATATTCATTTTTTCCCTCGTGTTCTCAAATTTGGGTGGAATTACATCTTGTGCTTTGGTGTAATTCTGCAACAAGATTTGATTACTCTTACAAACCATTTGCTGGAAACTCTTAAGCATCTCAATCAATCTGGAGAGGGGGCAAATTTAGTTTGATGATAGCGATCACGCGTACAAGCCTTCGATGTTCATTTTATCAAGTTTGATCATGGTTTTGTTCGTGTTTGTTGATCTCGTTGCTGCAATATTTTGGTGTGTTTTTTCTCCAACTCCAGTGCATCAACAACAAAAACTCAATCTCCTATCTCTTGCTTCTCTTCTCAATCTTTCATTATTTACAAAGGCAAGCTTTGACAAAAGCATTTATGTGAAAATCAACCAGAACAAACTAGCATCATTACAAAAGTAAAAGAACTACCTTTCCCTCTTATGGGAATATATATTCATTACTTTACAGTAAATTTGCTCTTCATCTTGACATATTTTAACAAAAGAGTGAACTAGAAATATTCACGAGCCTTTTCCATCTCAGTTATGTACAAATCCCACCTAGGGAAAATTTTCTGCATCTACAGAATAAAAAGGAAGAATACTAGTTAATTTACATCAGTAGACAGAACCTCAAGCTCTGCCCACCAAAGAGGGGATAATTTCGGTATCGCTCCATCAGGGGCTATTGATGTCATCTCTCTCAACCGTGCAGCAATCTCTCTCATTGATGGTCTCTGTCTCGGCTCAGGATTAACACATGATTTTATCAAACTACCAATTTGTTCGACTTGATCTTCTTGAAATGATGTCAAAGTCGGATCCACCATTTCTCTAAGGAATGGAATTCCTCTAAGATAATCCGATGCCCAGTCTTCAAGTGAATCATTACCAACTACATAAGGCAGTTTACCAGTTATCATCTCAAATAGTACAACACCAAAGCTGTAGACATTACTCTGCAGATTTGGTTCAATCTCAGCTGAAGAACCATCACCCGAGAAACAAAAGTCCGATATTTTGGCTGCGTAATCTTCAGTGAGATATACGGCTGAAGAAGTAAAGTTTCTGTGGGGTACTACCGGTGTCAACTGGTGCATGTACTCCAAACAGTATGCCATCCCCATTGCTATTCTCAACCGCATTGCCCAGTCCAAGTGTTCAGATTCTTTTACTGCAGAATACATGAATTAGGAATCTCATGAATCTTCACGGAAAGATTAAGAAAATAATCTTCACATACACAAATTCATTCTCATGGTATAGATTTCTATCACCTCGAAAGAGACGTATTGGTCACATGAAATGAATATCAACTTTTACACAAAACTCTAAGTGGCAATATAACTATGACTTGATTAAAAGTGGCCCAACAGACATAAATTGTACACACAGCTCATCGTTCAATTAAAACACCACATCGAAGCATCAGTAGCTACCCGAAACTTTTATCAACTTGGCCAAAAGGACCAAAATGAAAGAAGAAAATGAAAAAATAAAAAATTGAACTCACTGTGTAGATGCTCAAAGAGCGTTCCATTGGGAGCATACTCAAAAACCATCATTCTAGTGAAAGGCTTCTCTTCCTCGCAATATCCAATTAAGTTGACAAAATTCTTGTGATTCACTTTTGATAGCGTATCAATCTGAAGCCACATGATATCCGAATTTATTAAATAGAAAAACAACAAGAATCTAAAATAAAATACCAATGAGGTCCATTTGTGGGCAGAATTCTCATGAAACAAACAAATTCTTAAACAATCACATCAAAGTACCTTAGTCCTAAACTGGGCTTCTAGAATATTTGACCAGTCCTTTGCAGAGGCGATAGCCGGAGATGCAACAGCTATTTCAACTCCACTGGACAGTGTACCCTTGTATAGTGTGCAGAATGATGAAGAGCCAATCACATTGCTAAAATCTTCACAAGCAGTCTCAAGTTCTGATCTCTTAAGCTTTGGGACCCCTAAGACACAAAATGATAGTTGAATTATTGGTTGATTGTGTAGAATATTCATTCACCATGATCAGTTTTACGATGAAATGTGTATTAAAAGAATAAAAGAACTTAAAGATCATTAGATGACTTTAATTTGACCCAGAAAATAAAAATAAAAGAGTTGTGAAGAAATAATCTCTACGAAAACAAGTGAGGTGTATTTGTAGGAGAGAAACTTACCTGTTACAAATGCTCTCTGCAACTTCCCACTTAATCCCGTAGCCCAAGGCTTGACAGTAGCAACCTTACTACATTGACAAAACAAAATGCCTGCAATCAAAAACAAAAATAACAAAGATCCTCCAATGGCTCCAGATAATATCAGAATCCTATGATGATTACGCCTGGATTTTTTAGTTGGCGTGGAAGGACTTTCTGCTGGGTTAGGAAGTGAAGATGGAGAAATACTTCCAGGAGAAGGAAGGGGTGGAGAAATATTTTCAGGAGAAGAAGCAGGAGGGAGAGGAGAAGGGGAAGGTGAAGGGGATGGGGATGGGGATGGTGTAGGAGAAATTCCAGATTCGGGTGATGGTGGTGGTGGCGGCGGCGGCAGCGGGAGAGATAAGGCTGGAAATGGCATTTTAAGATCTTGTAACAATTTCCTTTGAGCTACATCTCCCATTTGTCCTAAATTCCTGCAAATGTACAATCCTTCATGAACTTGAAAATTAAAATAGATGCTTCTTGAATGCAAATCAGGAGCAACAATCATATATAAGTGGATACACCTTAGAAATGGAGAATAAGTGTGTAATGGTCCAAAACTGAAAAACAAAATGCATCTGTTTGCCTTGATTTTGGAATGGTTCAATAAAATAGAAAATGGACAGTATGGTTGTGAACACTAGTCATAATGAGAAAGATGAACTGGCACAAGATCATATAATTTTTTGAAGTGAGACAGACATAAACTTTTTGTTATTGTCCCTAAAACATATTCCAAGTTATTTAAAAATAAATAAAATAAAAATAAAACTCAATGGGCAAGAAAGAATTTCCTGGCAATCTTGGCAAGGTTTACAGGGAAAGGGGTATATTCAATTCAAGCAGCAATACAACCATTGCAAGCCATCGATTGACTACATTCACAATAAGAAGGGGAGTCAAATAGATTAAATAGATGTACCCTGAGATTAATCTGTCATTGCAAGATAGCGTTTCTCTGCCACTGGATAGCAGACGTTCATTCACTTGAACTTCAGATAGCTTTTGAAGCTCATAAATTTCAGGAAGTGGGTTGCCAAGAAGCTCATTATTGTCAAGTAAACTGTATCACATAGAAAACACCCATTATTGAGAGCACGAAAAGGTCTGTCTCAGTGTGGAAGTTAACTGTATTGTGAACTTACAGAATTGCTATTGAGAAATTATTGATAAGATTACATGGAAGCTGTCCACTGAAATTATTATATCCAAGGTCCAATACTTCTAATTCGCTCAACTCAGCAATCTCGTCCGGAATGACACCAGAGAAAGAATTGTTGCGTAAACTTCTGTAAAATAGTTCAAGATAAATCAAAGTTTCATATAACGTAAATCTGAAAATATGGAAGTTGTTTTCCTGAGACAAGAAGAACTGGACTGCAAATATTGTCCAAATTAACCAATTTAATGCGACTCACATAGATTTCACATGAACCAGATTCCAGAGATCTGGAACCAGAGTGCCTCTCAGACATAGATCTTTCAGGTTCCTGCAAGAACACGATCTCAGAAAATAACCAAGAAGTTCTTAAATGGTATGCATAACAATAACATATTCAAAGTCGAACATTTAAGTGCCAAAAACATGCTACTTCACAAATTCAGAAGAAATTTAGCCAAAACAAGCACCTAGAGGATTTAGAAATTCCATAGATCGCATTTCACATCATGTTCCACGATTGTAGGTGTATGTACGAGAAAGCATGTATTTATCCATGTACGATGCACTAATCCTAGTAAATAGCAGAGTTGTGAGCAGGTGTTTTTAAAAAGTATTATATAATTAAATTTTTGCAAGAATAAAAAGAATCTGAGGCATCTTCTTTTTTTAACTAGGCACCATTCGATTAACCCCTAAAAGAGATTCATCTCTTTCCAGACAGTAATTCATAGCAGCATAGCTACATTTTAGCAATTTCAACAATCCCTCTTCCAATAGCCATATTGGTGACAGATTCTTGAATTTTTCATCAGTGCCAGTAAGCACGGTTAGCTCTTATTCCAGTACATTTTTCCAAAGCTTTTCCGCATAATCAACAAAAAAGAAACTTCACATGTATTATGGATAAGATATACAAAATCAAGCACCACTGTACTGTTTCAGAACCTTAAGAGTTCCAAAAACTATTTTCTTTTACCTTTTCAGCATCTTAAATTTTCATTTTATCTACTTAATCATCCCCCACAGAAGCCAACCTCTTCCGTTAAGCAAGAACTTTGTGACCGCCTCAAGTTACTCTACCAATTGTTTTACACAGAAAAATCAATTGGCACTCTTCCCCCCTTAAGTAAGCATATTTGTTGCATTCTCTTATGCGATTCATTCATTTAAGTCTGCTTAAAATATGACAATCAAACACAACCAAATTAAAAGGAAGCAATAAAAACAGAGAATTCCAAATCAGAAAAGATCATTCAAAATAGGATTGTAGCAAATCAGAAAAGGTAACCATTTGGCACAAGACTATATACTTACAGAACCACCACATGTCCATCCGAGCACCCAACTCCAAACCAAGAACATGGATTTTCCACTCCCACTTCTTCATTCCAATCTGATAAAGCCCCATATGGATCACTCTCCACTCCCTCTTTAAATCTCAGCAAAGCCACACCTGCACACAACACACACAGAGATAAATATATAAACAAAAATCTAGTAAATTAAAACTAAAAAATAAAGCTTAGTTTTCATCTCCAATTTCTTTTGATCTAGTAGAATATAAAAAGCTCGTACCTTCATCATTCAGAGACCAGCAAAAACTCAAGTTACTAAAGCATATCAAAAGCATTAGCAAAAGATGACTTTTGAATTCCCAAAATGCTTTCATTTCCTCAAAAAGTAAACCCGCAATTTCTTTTCTCAGAATATGATCAATTCAACATCTAAAAAACCAACAAACGAAATTCTTGAAACTCTACCAACCTTAAAACCGAGTTGACTCAGTCCAGTCCACAAATTCGAGAATGAAAAACCAGAAAGTTGAATATCAGAGTAAAAATTAGTTAACAAAGAAAAGACAAGAAGTTTGAGAAGTGCGTTTTTGTGAAGCAAATAAAATGCCAGGAGGTCCTGGACCCTTTCTTGAAACCGCGTTTGCGTGAGATGAAACCCCAAAAAACACTGGAATCTCCAAACATGCATTTCTTTGACTTTTAAAACAAGCGAAAATTCCCGAATAAAAGGTTTTTACTGAAATGAAACAGGTTCATAGGATTCTATTTGGGGGTGGGGGCGGGGTGGGGCGGGACGAGTCGGTTCGGTTTCAGAAATTTTTGGGTATGTAGTAAATGGAACCATCGGTTCCAAATATAATTTTGGAACCGTTCGAGTTCAGTTCCATTCCATTCCGTATTATAATTAATTTTTTTAACATTTAAAATAATATTACATAAATATACATGAAAATATATATTAATATTAATAACAAAAAAGAGATACAAATACCAAGTTCAATCTTAACTTTTACAAATTAACGTAATATAATTTAATAACATATAAATAATAAGTTGTTAAATACAAATACCAAAAAGTAAATATTACTAATAAAACTTCGATAATTCATATCAATAATTCATTTGCTTCGAACCTTCAATTCTACATAAAAATGAAATATAAATTAGAAGTCA